CCGGCTCAAGAAAAATGTGGTGGCTGGTACTACACGACGAGCCCAGTCAAACGATACTTTGAACTGGTCCCACTGCATGCACATCTAAGAACAAGACATACCGGGTAAACGCGACCAAATATCAGACAGCCGGATCAGACGACAAATTCAGCGAAGGTCACGTGGTACTGGAGGTCAATTTAAAGGTCGTCTGGGTGTAGGTCAGCCGCAACACGAGTGGAGCATCCAATCAATAAGATTAATCACAGGGGTAAGCATCAGCACGTTTATAAACAGGCGCATAGTGAAATTCGGCACACCGACATTCAGCACACCGCCACTCAACGTACAACCACCAACGCACAGCATCGGTTCGCTTCAAAAAGCGGTACTGATGGTGCAATTCGATTGTTCTTGAAACGTTTGCAAACAGGCAAGTTCGACGAACAATATGACCACTAACAGATTCGAGTGTTTCAACCTGTCCCGGCATGTTACGGCGCGACTGAATCTATTCCAATAGCTTTGGAGCCTGTCCTTTCATGTATGGCAACAAGCGGAAGTGTTGGCACTTTAAAATGCGGATTCTTACCATAGAACCGGACGAGAATGACTGAGTAGTTGTTTAGTTTTCAGAACAACACAAATAGAGTGGAGGATAATCTCTCGATATCATTTCGTCAAACTCGTACAGCTACATGGGAAACGTAAAAAATCATAATGTTTAAAGCAGTCTCACTCGGAATGACATTTAGTTATCAAGATTCACGTTGTGTTCGGTTAGGTACTAACATGCTGTCTGAGTTACTTGAACCTATCACATGACTATAAAGTCACACTAGCGCTTGTGCGAATCACTTTGGAATGTAAATTTCAGACTGGCGAATCCTAGTGCCAGGGTCTTCTGTAGTGGTCGGCATCTGAGGTCTGCTAGACATAAGCAACCGTTCCGGCATTCTGTAAATGATCCAGAAAAATGTTGCGCTATTCTCTTGGACTCCCATATTCAGTAAATGGCCATGTCCTCGGTCTGTTGGGGTATAAAAACTTTACGACTGGGCTGGAGATACAGGGTAATGTATGATACAAGTCTTATTGTCACTAGATTCATCACATTTTTGTACTATCTACTGAATTACTTTGCAGCGATCCTCTCACTAGCCAGTGAAAGCAACCAACGATTTGTCAATTTCCGGTCGGTCTGATTTGTCTCGTTCTGACTAAATTCGATGACGTTTTCCAATTGTTTTTCGAAGCTGACGTATTATAGTATTCTACTATTCCGAGAAAAAGTTTAAAATTTTCCGCGGACAAGTACACGGTATTTATCATTGCTCTCCAGGGCACGTGTATGTTTTGCTAAACTATGTTACAGTCCACGCAGTCCAGTTGTCAAATCCCGGACTGCAATCGATATGTTCGGTTGGCTGATTCTACCAGGATCGTTTGAGATTTGAACGAAATATTTCAATTCTTCCAATACCACTAATACAACTCGCTTTCCATGCAACCCCTGAAGGATACCGGACGTTCGTTTATCGATCTTCGTCGTTCGGTTGGTGAGAGGGTAATCGTCAACTTTGGTTTTTTCCCCGCACTGGTTGCTATGTCCACATGCTGTCCGATCGAATTCAAATTGTCTGTCTGGGTTACATCCTTAATAAAGCAGCGCCATTTGTACCTTCCGACTCAGCTGCATCGCGAGCTTAATCCGTTAACTCCGTTAACTAGGGGTATAGGATTAGTTTACTCAGACATCTTCTCATGCATGACAGTGACAGTAAACATGTGGTCATCATTTTGACTTAATTGAGTTGTATTGCTCAGTGGAATAATTTAGTCCTGTGTGAACCGTCATCTAAACGTCACGTTTATTTTATATTATAAGTAGTAGTATGACCAACTGCAATCCCCGGTCCCGTAGCGTAGTCGGACAAGAACTCACCAACACAGAAAAAAAACTTTATTGCAAACAAGCGAGTGCGAGTAATGCAAGCAGCATTCCAGTATTTGGAGTGCGCTTTTGACCCTCAATCCAAGCTGTCCAGTCTGCATTGGTTGATTGGTTGGCTTTTATTGACATACCCGAACATTCGAAAAGCGTCCACTGTTATTGATTGACTGCTTAAGCATCTAATTGGTGGTTGGCGTTTCTGGCGCGGACGCTTGACGGCTTCACTACTGCAATTCTGGTAGAGTTTGAGGGTTTCAGTAAGTTTAGGGTATTCTGGAGATTTTCGGGAACCTACTCTTCCTGACAAGTAGTGAAACATGGAAACATCAAGTATATGTCTGTTTCTTTCTGTCTCTTTCCTACGGTTAGATCAGACGGGCTTCATTTGGACTTATGATTTTTATTAACCTCAGTGAGATACACATCAAATGATAGATAGTTTTGATGCTCCGTGAATTGCTTTCTTGTAGGAAAGGTCCTCTGTGTTCGTTTAAGTCTACAGCACTTTCTTCCTCCAAGAAAAAAACGTGACGGATGTAATTATCCTGCTTCCAATTCCTGTAATTTTTGCATCCCCCGCACTAACTAAACCCCCCAGTAGTCGATCAGGAAAAACTACTGCTTGACGTATCAAAACAAAACAGTCGGCTTACGAGCAATTAGTCTCTGTGGCTTTGAATGAATTCTACCCAAAGAAGCTCATGTGCGGGAAGCGCTCATCATTCATTGCCGGAAACCGAAAACCGCTCAACCGTAACACCATTTCGGTGCCAAGCTGCTATGCCACCGGAAGTAGGCACGACCGCTGAGCTGCAGTTAGGTTGCCCAAGTCTAGACAGCAGCAATCGAGATGCCAAGGTTGGATTTATCCGTCACTAAATGCAGCTTTTTTATATTACCTAATGCGAATACTTTATTCGGATTTTTTGCATAAGGAGTCCATGACCTCTGTTACTCACTCACACTGATCTACACATGCTGAAACCACCGTTCGTCTTTACCTATGTCTCACGCTCTGTTTGCAAGCTAACTACAAATTTTGGCGAGCAGATCAGCAGTCATTTTATCAGCTGTCAGTGAACGTCCGGAGTTATAAATATTCCTGCATATATCCTATGCCACATTCAGTTTCTGCGTGACCGAATTTGTTCTCAAACGATTTACCACTAGCTAAAGCATTCCTCTGATACTCTGACGAGGCTTGTTTCGTTTGGAAGAGTTTATCTCAATGTTTATGCTTTCGTGTTTCGGGCAATCGGTTTCATCTTTAGCTTTGGTGCGCATGGTTTCCTACCGTTTGCTGAGAGTATTAACAACCAGTCTCAAATCAGAAGTACCGATTACATCATGGCTAATATGAGGCAGATTTTGCGTTATTTGCGCTATGATCTGATGGCATACCAAGCTAATAATGCAATCTTAAGGGCAGAGATTCATGCCTGAATACTTTGGGTAACGAGTAGTCCAAATCGACTGACCCAACGTTACATTTCTATGATTTGCTGTTTGTTTAGGAATATCGTTCGTCACGTTCATCATCATCATCATCATCATCATCATCATCATCATCATCATCATCATCGTCATCATCATCACCAAAGGCATGGCATCAGTGTTCATTACCCATGCTTCGTTGCCGTACAACCAAGATTTATTTGAAAACCATATTGTGAAGAAAAGAATAAATGTGGACCGGGAAGGGACTTAGTGCTGGCTTACTCTAATTATTCCGAGGTATCTACACCTCCAGACATTTTGGACCTCACCAACCCTCAGTCCTTTAATTACTTAAAACGAGTGGATACTTCAGTTAATTCGGATTTGTCAAAGAAACACAAACTGTAATAATGAACACCTATGTATCTGTCAATGTTGCAACAAGCAGTTTAGTTAAGGCTGCCGAGTATTTGGACGGCGTTCTCAGTAGAAAGTCGTCATAATTGTCCAAATTTAGGAGATGATGAATAAACCAATTATTTCCCACTCTATAGTGTTCGAATATTCAGTCATCCCTCCTGTGCATCCGCCACCCGACTTGGTTCCTTTTCGGCCTGACTTCATTCTGTCCAGATCGAATCAAGGTCGTTGAAGTAAATCAGCTGACCTATCCAGATTTGAATCTTTCGATAGGTGCATTTCACGTGAGTCGCAGATGTTACGGTTATGTTGCCGAAATGGTGGACGAAAGACCTGAGCTCATCAGAAAATTGTCGAAGAAAGATATTCGAGTCATACGCGATAAGGAGAAGGTGACGAAGCTTGGAGAAAAACTCCGAACATTGGGAGAGAGGAGCACCTTCCACGGAATCGATGTGCTACTGGAAGCCAGTCCAGGATGGCGTAGACGAACAGTTTTGATCATTCTCATAATTATGTGCTTTGCCTGCATCTTGAATGTATCACATCTCATAGCGGGCTTTGTCAACATGCCAGTATCCACGGTGATAAACGATGAGAAAGCGAATTTCACATTCCCCATTGTGGCCATATGTCCAGATAGTCCCTTTAGTATCGAACGGGTCAGCCAGGATGAAGAACTGAGGAACGCGTAAGCTTTCTGCCAGTAACATCGTCAACGTTTACAAACTTACAATTCGTTTAGGGAAACAAAACGTATCATGATCTTGAGGAAGTTCGGTTCATTCTTCTGATTCACTTAAATTTTCAGACTGAATAATAGTTTGCTTAGGACTGTCATATGGATATCAGCTTAAAATATCGTCTCATCCCATTTAATCTTCTCCATTTTCAAACCAGCGTAGCTTCATCCAAATGAGGTATCCCGAATCACGTTATTCTTCTGCAGATACTAAATCTCTCGTTACTTCGGTCGCTGCATTCATTCAGGCCATATCAGAAAGTATTACTTTTATCAACTATTTGTTTTTCTGCTCAAGTCCCTGGCTGCAGCCAGTGGAATACAATAAAAAGCCAGCACCAGTTAAACTTTCTGCTGCCGTATGACTTCGGCACCGATGAAGAGCACTGAAGCTTGCGATGTCATGTTTACTTGATTAACGGTATTGGGACGTTCTCCGCGGCACTGCCAGAACCTGGGCGATAAGTAAGACGCTGCTGCGAAAGCTTCCAGCTCACAGAGGGTCACTGGGACATTACAAACATAGAACGCAAAATGGGTACACTGCTCATAACTTACGCAAGGCTGAATGGTGATACCTGGTGGAGAAAAATGATTATCCGTTCATTAATGAAGTTTGGTTCTTGTGGACTGGTTAAACGATCAGATCACACACAACCCACCTTTCTAGACCAAGAACGACCACCAAACGTTCCTCTCAGCTCATTTCGGTCTCAACGGGTTTCAGCTCATATATATTATCTATTTGCTCCGAGATTTTAAATTTTAAATTCAGACAAGTTATGGTTTGGTTTGAACTTATTAAACGGGGCNTTTTCCTATCCGTCGCACGCACGCCGCAAAGTGAGCTGTGCATTCATGCAGCGCTGATTTCTTGGGTCCATGCGTGAAACTATTTCAGCCGTTATTTTTGCAAAAATTCTGTTGAGAACCATAGTATGGACACATATGAGTTAAACGAGAATGTGGGATAAAACCTAGCTCAGGCATTTCCGCTTATGGACATATGAACCGAGCATTTTAGTAGCAGCAGCACTTGGTGTTCACACCCCAAGGACAGCTTACTGATGTCCCAACATCTCAAATCCGGGGGCCTACCATACGCCTTGGTGATCACGTTACATTAAGATGGCTGATACCACTGCGTATAGTCCATTAATTTTCACGGTGTGTGGTCACTCAATCTGCTACGCCGTTGTACCTCCGGTGAGCCGGCGAGAGCATCAGACCGTGCTACACAAGGTATTAGCTGGGCAAAACTCTCAGCCTAAGTGACTCAGAGTTAATTATCACTGAAGAATGGAAATTGCTACAGGTGAAACAAATGAAGGCTTTTTAGCCCTACGGTCCATAATCTGATGGCCGTTTCATGAACCAGCGGTTTCTTTAGAGATAAATGCGTTTATCGGCATCTTTGGTTTTACTCGGTTTGAAAGCGATAGCGGTCCCTGAGAAGCTTGTGATAGTTTCCTTCTCACATGGTTCCAGGTAACTCATTGGAGTACTTGATGAGACACAAGGTGTATCAATTTTACTTCATTTGATAACTTCATTTTCTAAACGGTTCTAGTAAACCTGACTCATTTGGGCAAACAGCGGACATAAAGTCAACTCAATGATGATAGTTTCTGCTAATTAGAGGAAATGCACTTTAAGTGATGAACTCCCAGATTCAGTAGAACTAAAAGCTGGGTGTAAAGCTATCTAAACAACACATCAGAGAGAACAACTAACACATTCAATTATACACGGGTCCATCCCAATTAGGCCACTGAAATTTCTCTCTGTAAGGATTTCCGAGGTAGCCAGTCCAGTGATCGGTATAATTCACTTCCGAACAAGCTACAAACAAACAGAGCAAAAAGACGCAAAGTGGCTGTAGAAAAAGATTCTTGGAATTTTATTAGCAAACGCCATCACTAGAGAGTAATAATGTTAATGTTAACCACACAACAGTGTCAGTTCGAAACATTCGGACGGCAGTGACCAACAGTGTGGCTTTCTGAGCTGCGCATACCATCATTTCGATGTGACAGATATAGTAATGAGCATACTAGCAGAAAATCGCACTTCGAATTCCGCATTTGTGCATCGCTTCAAAATCCTAGTCACTAGCGCAGTTATCAGTACATCCACTCCACGCATTGCTTTCCTCGCAGCTGTGTACACGCAAGCACCAGCCCATTGCTCAAGCAACACACCACAGAGAGCTAGGGATGCTCCTCGTGCATGTGGATGTTGGGCACACGATAACTCAATTTACATGTCGTTCGGGTACGACGGTGCACAGGGTTGCACTGTTCAGGCGATCCCAAACGCACTGTACATTGACTCGTCCTACGGATGTGGCAGAGAGAGATCACCTGACCTCACTCAGACAGTACATTGACGTAGCAATATCCAAATGGAGAAAACGGATCTTTTCCAGATAAGTTCCGCCAAAAAATTAAGCCCCGCCACTCAAAAAGCGATTAGAAAAATGAAGACATGAAACTTATACGTTTATTTTTTATTGAAGAGGGTGAAATTGGAACATTTATTAGTAATTTGCATGAAAAGGTCCGTTTTTCGGTGCCTTTGCCTCCAAACGAACTCGCGCAAGTAGTTGTCCACTAAAGATAGGTGTGTGCCACTTTGGCGTTTATTCTGCATCTTGTGGACGTGCCAAAGAGATTCGATGGTTTAGAATTACTGTTCTAAACTCCATCCTAGACCGTTCCAACCAAGCTCCCTTTCGAAGACCGATTTCTTGCCGACACTGTCAGGCATTACACCTCCACCTGTCAGAAACAGTTGAAAGTGACATTTGGTGGCCATTGTCGCATAAACGTTGCTGATGAGTCACTCCGTGGCTTTGAAAAGACGTATTACTGTCTGCTTGTCATGAACGAGAGTTGAAAGCATCAGAAAGTTCACCTAAGGTCTTAAGTTCAAACGGAGAAAATCTTTGCCCAAAATGAGCCTAGATGCAGATAAGGAATTATTTTCATCAAAAATGGGTCAAGGTTGTATGCGACCATTAAATTGGAGCCGACAAAAAGTGGCGGGCTTTGACTTTTCTCACATTCACTTTTTGCATTAATGGCGGGGCTCATCTGAAAAAAAGATCCTGGATTTTTTCGTTTCCCTTGTATTTGTCCGATTCTGACGAAGTGACACCGAATGGGTAACCTTCAGTCTATCTGCGCTGTTCTGAAAAAAAGCACGGAGTTGTGTCAACTACTCGCGTTCCGATTCTGCGACAAGGATCCGCACTTTCAGAGCATCAACGCTTCTGCCTGCTGCCGTAGCATGAACGGCCTTTGTGATGGACGACTTCAGAGCTATGGGAATACTGTGAGCCAGAATGGGCTGAAACAGTTAGATCTGTTTCCAGTTAATACTGGAAACATGTGATGTAGGATCAAAACTTTTGATATTATCAGCGGTCATAACAATTTAAATCTTGCTAGTAGATTTATCCTTCGCAATCAAGCTAACCGTGGGGAATTGCACCAGACATCGACTGAAACTAGAGTGAAATAAGGTTAACGAGCAACACTGCTCCACAATTGTACTCACAAGTTGAAGATGGATCGGATCGAGTTTAGGCTATCACCTACTTACAAATTGCTGTTCTACGTGCTGTAACACAATATAATGTATTAAATAGAGATTACGATATTCTTCTCCCCAAATCAGGATAAATATACTTTCGAGCATCTGAAAACCACATATCTGTAACCGTTTGTCGACATTTTTCACATAAATGATGTTGCCAGGAGAATGAACGAATAACATTCACAACTCAAAGTAAGATTTTAAAAGAATTCGAGCTGTATGGAAGCACATCAAGCTGGTGCGTAATGAAGTCGTCTATCCATGAAACGACTGCTCCTCCCGAGTGAAAATTGGGCAGTCTGGCTTTCGAAATGAGGGTAGGAAATGCATGAAGCGATCCACCTTTGAAATCGGTGAACGATTACTGTTCACGTGCGCCCCCTCCCTTTCGGTCCCACGGACATGATTGATCCCAGCCATAGTATTCTGGCTGTGGGTGCAGCCCACTGGATGCTGCTGATCGTTCGGTCGGTGAGCCAGGTTCCGTCAGCATCCGCATCATCGTCATCATCATCATCGACAGCATGACATCAGTGTTCAACACCGATGCTTCACTGCCGTACAACCATGATTTATTTGAAAGCCATATTGTGCAGAAAAGAATAAAGGTGGATGGGGGAGAGACTTAGTGCCGACTTACTACAGTCATTCCGAGATGCCTACACCTTCAAGCACTCATTCAGGCAATCTGGATGGAAACTGACAACAAGATCGCCACTGACATTGGTTAGAAGCCATATCTTGCAGGGTCTCTAATCAGGCACAGTTAGGATCACGCGGTCCCCATCCTGGAAGGCTAGTAGCACCGACAGCATTCAAGCGTTTCGTGATTTCTTTCATAACCCTCTGCCAGGTCAGGGGCTGAACACTTCCCTGCTTCCGCCACTCAGAATTGGGCAGGGAAAACAGTACTCTCTTCGGCAGACAATGGTTCGGCATGCGTAACACATGTCCCAACCAACGCAGCTTCTGGTGCTGGACACATTCTTCAATGGAAGTACCCGTTACACAACCGAAAACACGCTTTCTAACTGCCTTGTGACGGATTCGCCGACACCAACCCACACGGGCTATGGTTCTGAGACAACGATTGTCGAACACCTGAAGACGTCTCAGGTCCGCTGCTCGAATAGGCCAAGTCTCACAGCCATACAACAAAACAGCCCGTACTGTAGCTTGATACACACGTCCCTTCAGATTCAGGGATAAACCATTCTGACGCCATAGGTGTCTCAAGTTAGCAAACGCGGCCCGAGCCTTGCAGATTCGTGCATTCACCTCATCTGTCACACTGCAATCAGAACTAATACAACTTCCAAGGTACGTAAAACGCTCCACAACTTCCAGTACCTCTCCCTGGATTGTAAGGGGCGTGTTCAGTGACTGCACGTCCACAAGCATGACCTTACACTTTGTGGGTGCAAAATGCATACCAAAGGACGGGATGACTTTGGTCAGTTCATCCAAGAATACTTGCGCCTTCTCCTCCTCTTCGAACATGAGAACGATGTCGTCTGCATATTCCAGATCGACAAGGTTTTCTTCACTGGCTATTTGAACACCAGGGTTTTGGAGACCCTCCAGCGTTCGTCTCATTATTTCATCGATCACAAAGTTAAAAAGGAATGGAGAGAGTGGGCATCCCTGACGGACACCGCTTTGTGTGCGGAAGCTTTTGGAGAGCTCTCCGTACACTCTCACACGTCCGGAAGTCTGAGAATACAAAGAACGTATTATGTTTACAAACTTCCGGGGCATTCCTTGGTGGGCAAGCGTCTCGAGAAGAACAGACCGATCAACCGAGTCGAATGCGCCTCGGAAATCCAGGAATACTAGAATCGTGGGTCGCTTATACGTATGGCGTTGTTCTAGCACCTGGGGCAGTGTGAAGATTTGGTCAACACAACCCCTTCCAGGCCGAAATCCCGCTTGCTGCTCTCGAGTCAGTGTCTCACGAGCCAGCGTAAGGCGACGAAGCACAATTGAAGCCAACGATTGATCCAACTCGGGTCAGTGTCACTTTCTAAGACGTGCCGATGTGCATTGTATTCTGGATTGCCTGAATAAATTGAGCCGAGCGACAGGCAGATGCGTACGCGTAGGCAACTCTGAGCAAACGAAATGTGTGGAGAGGATGGCCGGACGACAGTGCAAACGGCTCGGATTTTTAAGAGGCATGCAACGTGCGGCGTTTGGTGTGTGCGTTTTACCGGAATGCCGCTGATTACATGTCATATCCCACAGACACAAA